TAATTCACACAGCTCTTTCCAAAGAGGTATTATTGATATGCCCATTTTATAGATGAGGAAATTGAGGCTCAGAGAGATCATGCAGTCTGCATAGGGTTCCAGGATCAGAGATCAAGAAGTCCCATTTGAACTCAGCCACTCATTCTGACAGTTTCTGACCATTCCTCACCTGTGAGATGGGTGGAATCATCACCACCTTCTCGGGGAGTTCTGGATTGAGGTAAGAGCATTTGTGCAGGGTCTGTGGGGGCCCAGGAAGGCTGCAGACAGGCAGCCATCATAGGCGACCTTGCTCCTCCATCCCCAGCTAGAAACAACCAGGTCAGACACCACATGGGAGCTACCATGGGAAGCCAGCCAGAACCCCCAGGGACCCCACTTCCCGAAAGACGATTGCCGCATCTCAGATTCACTCGGGCATCTGAAGTAGAAGACTCAGTGAAAATTCGAGGGAGCCCAAGTCAGGAAGTAGAAGGTGGAGCTGGCACGGCCGTGCGGGGCGATGAGCAAGCCGGGGTTGCACAGCAGCCTGGGAGCCCTGCGTGCCGTGAGGTCAGTCACGTGTGTGCCCACCTGTGCACCATCCTTCAGAATGGTGAGCTGCAGAGTTGTGCAGTGCTCACCCCGAGCGACCGTACCCAGCAGCCCTGTTGTCTGCCCATCAGCTGATTCATACATACCGTTATTTCCACTGTGTGACGGCTTCTTTTCAGGCCTTGGGGCAGCAGCAGTGGGCCCCAATTCAGGATCCCCTATATTTTAGTTGGAGAAGACAAGAACAAAAGTGACAAAAACAGGAAAAAAGAAATAAGAGGCTGAGACACCAACAAGGGGAGGCCTTTATCCCTATAAGGAGCAGGGGTGGTTTTGCCCAGCGCAGGCAATGACAAATGCATGGCTAGGAGCAGAACCCCAAGGGCAATGGGCTCCTTGATCCCAAATGACCGTCTGACCTTGGCCTGTCCTTGACCCTGAGGCCTCTCTAGCCAGCCCCAGATGCAACCAGCATCCGTATGACTCTGGCATGTTCCTTGGGGTGGCTTGGCTTGGGGCTCAGTTCTCACACCCCAAATCCCATCCTGAGCACCACCACCCCCCACCCCCCGCCACCGAGTCCAGCCAGGGCACTATCCGCCTTTCTCTGCTTTGCCTGGTTGGAAGCGCCCTCCCCGTCCGCCCAGCCCCTTCCCCAGCCCGGTCCCCCAGCACACTCCCCAGGAGCCTTCAGTAGCCACTAAGCTGGCCATTGAAGGGCTGGCCAGAGCAGACCAGGCCTTTCCTGGAGCAGCGGCACTTTAAACACTGAGTCTCGGGCTCTTCCCTCGGGGCTCCCAGGGAGAGAAGCTTCCGAGATCTGACATTGCCTCGGCCGGACCTGCGGTGCCGGCCAGGCCCTGTGGGTCTCCGGCTCTCCGTCTCTGGCACTGTGGCCCTGATTCTGTTTTTATGGGGTAAAAATTCTTTGATTCCCAAATGCCATGTGGGAATTTGCTGGGGGTGGGATGGGAGCCAGAGAAACAAAGGATGATTTACAAGGGGTTCAAAAGCCTCATTATAACCGGAAAATTTAATTTGCAGACTTTTGGTTCTTTATTTCCATCTGTGAAGGAGATGGAGTGTGGCTGGCCTTGGTCCCCCGGCTTAGAGGTTCGCTCGAGGCATCGGCGACTTCAGAAAGCCTTGCTGGCATTAAGCAATACACAGGTGAGCGGGTAAAACCATCCCGAGTTCATAGAGCAGGACCGAGCAGGATTTTTACAGATAAGACCGCCGAATGTGACTCGGAAACTACACGGCCCTGTGAAGGTATCAGAGTCCCTCAGGAGCTAAGCGGACGGCTGCCCAGGTAGGATCGGGCCTGGGCGGTTCTCTGTATCTTCAGGACCTGCCAGGGAACCCCGTGTTCCCACAGGTTCCAAGTTGCAAACATGACCTGCACGGTCCACTCACTGCAAAGTCTCTGCCGTCAAAAGGTTTGCACACGGGGTGGGAAGGCCTTGCTGCTCAGAACCTAAGGCATCCTGGGCTGGGTTTAGCTCAGTGGCACACACACCTGCCTGGCAAGTGCAAAGGTCCTGAGTTCAATTCCAAGTACCAACAAAAAACAAATGAAAGGTGAACCAGCATCTTCCTGTAGCATCCGATGCTTTTAACTGTGGGGGGGAGGCAGTGTTTCCGAGTTGGGGTTTTTTGTTTGTTTTTGTTTCCGGGGCTGTGGATTGAGGCCAGGACACCTCCATCGAAATGCACCCCAACCCTGCACTGTTTTATTTATTCAGGTTCCGGAGCCTGAACCTCAAGTTCCAGATGTGAGCCTCAGCTGAAGTGGCTTCATTTGCAAGTCAGGGTGGCGGCCCTCACAGGGACGGACACCCATTACAGCGGTGCTGGGCTCCTCTGCTGGGAGCTCTGTGGCTGTCTGTCTGTCCGGCTCCATCTTTCAGTCACTCACACGTTTGAATGTGGGCTGCAGGGTGCCCCGCCAGGGACCCGTCTCTGCGGGATGGATCCGGCAGGTGGATTCCAGGCGAAGGACTGCCAGCGCATCATCAAACAGCAGCTGAAAAGCAGCTGCATGGATTGAAACTCCCAGGAAGACGTTCTTGGCGGTGCAGGACGACGGAAAAATGAAAGCACTACCATGAACACAGACAAATCAGGCTTTCAGAATTAGAGGGTCCGTACCCCAGCCTGGCTGTCTCCTTCCGGGTCAAGAATGATTGACAGCGTCCTGAAGCATCTCAGGGGCTTTCAACACACAGCCCGCCCCAGAATTCACTCTGATCTTACTCACATGGAGGAGACGCGGTGCGTATTTATGAACCCTTAATCAGGTCCAGTAGGGTAAAGGCACCTGAAGACCAGGCCAGCAGGTCCAAGGCGTCCTGGGGCTTTGCAGTGTCATTTTCTGCCTCTCTTAGAACAGCGGAAGGCAGGCTGGCCATAGGGCACTGTCCAAACTCCAATGAGACAGGGGAGTGATCTCCTCAGTCCCCCCATCCTAGCCCCACTGGACGGACTCCCTGTGCATGCCACGCCACCAGGGAAAGGCAGGACAGCAGGCCTGACCGGCAGCTCTGGGGACAGCTCCTGAATCTCAACCATCCCTCAAAATGTCATCTTTGAGGGCCGGGGATGTAGCTCAGCGGCACAGCACCTGCCTGGCAGGCACGAGGTTGTAAGTTTGATTCCTGGTACCAAAAAAAGCTTTGTTTTTCCTCTTTGGCAACATAGGGAAAAATTAAAACTCATTTTAAAAATGTGAATAACTTCTTTCACTTCTGTCCATTCTAAAGACCAGGTAACTGTGACTCTGTGGATGTCCCACTGTGACACACAGGAGCTCCATACTGTGACTCTCCATGTGTGGAAGGTTCTGGAAGTGTGCACAAACGCGCCTGCCTGCTCGGTGCTGCTCCACCACAGGAAACCAATCCTGCCCCCCCCCAGCTTCCAGGCAGGCCCTCGAAATGAGCCCAAGTCCTGCCCTGTCACACGTCTGTGCCCCCGAGTGCTCCTGCAGAGCCCAAGGGTGCTGCACCCTCCCTCGAGGCGGACACAACACCACCTGCAGGACTTGGCTTGGGGGGCTTGGCCTGCACCCCAGACATGCACCTTGAGCATGCACTGAGAGAAGAGGGCTCTGGCTTCCGAAGGGTCTTAATAGGAAACATTTGCACCAAATCAAAAGGCCTCTGCCTGCGTTTGGATTTAGTTGTAAATTATCTGCTCGGAGGATCCGTCCAGACCTCTCTGCGGAGGCCGGGAACTCCGAGCCCCGCTTGGATCCAGATTTGCTGCGTGGTCCAGATAGACTTTCAGCTGCTGCAACCAGACTGCAGGCGGGGGACAATAAGAACAGAACTCCTTTTGTTCTGACTAAACTGTTTTTAATGGTCCCTTCCAGGCCAGGCCTCAGTGGAGGCCTCAACAAGGCAGCTCATTGAGTCGCCCTGAAAGAGCCCAGTGGGGCAGAGCCAGGAGCCCTCCGCAGGGGCCGGCGGCCCTTTGTCAGCTTTGGTGGTCCCGCCGCAGAGAAGAACAGGGCTCTTTCATTTGTTGTCTCGGACGGAAAGAGGGAGGTGCATCCGAGAGCCGGGACGGTCCCACACATTTCCGTAATTAGTGCCTGTGAAGTGTTGGGGGCTCTTGAACACACGTGTGCGCGCACACACACACACACACACACACACTGTAACGTCCAGTGTTCTCCTGGAGGCCCAGGGTCCCCAGAAACTGATGGAACAAAGCCACCAGATTTCATAACCTGGGACACCCTGGCCTGACTGGCCACCCCAGGTTTTCACGTTCACCTGGAGGCTTTGGGGGCTGACGGATTCACACAGGACCCAGAAGGAGGGAAGGCCGGGGCTACACCGGCCACTCTCAGGCATCAGCCTGCTCGGCACAGTCAGCCCCTGAGGGTCTCCAGGTCACACCTGAAGTCCTCCATCTGCATGAACAAAAGTGCCAAGCAAAAAAACCAAACACCTCTGACCCAGGCTTTGGAGAAGTTCCTTCCCGGCTTCAACGGTACCAGTGAGGTTTTACCCACCAAGATGCCCTGGTGGCTGAGTCAGTGAGAACCAGATCAGTGGTCTCAGCAGGGGACACTGTGTGCCCACAGAGTACAGGCCAACATCTGGGGACGCTGCTGAGCATCACAACTGGGAGAGGTGTTCATGGCATCTTGTGGAAGCAGTGTGCACTGCTCAACACCCCATGATGCCCAGGGCAGCCCCCCACATCGAGGGGGCTGTCACATGGGCTCCTGGAGCCCCCACCCCTCCTGCCCCCCGAGATCAGAAGCACCCGGGTCCTCCCTGAGCCAGAGGTCAGGGAAGGCCAAGTTGCAGTCTGCTCCACAGGAGCGCAGAGGCTCCTCCTGAACACCAGGACGACCAGGGAGCCCGGGGCTCTTTGAAGAAAAGGCTTTGGGGTTCCTTTTTATTTGGCACTAAATCATCTTAAATTGCATGGGGAAACAGAATACAATTCAAGTTACATTACTAATCAATCTTCGAGGGGAATAAATCAAAGAGGGGTGTTTTATCAAATCTGGAAGTAATTAAAGGTCAGGAGGACCTCGTGGACGTCCACCGAGGCTGGCTGGAGCCCCACCACACCTGCTCCCATCACCAGGGACCGTCTGGAATTCGCACACGCTCCTTTTCCCACACGCTGATTTATTAATCACGTCTCTTTTTTCTCCGAGACGTCACAGGAAGGGTGAAATCAAAGCACTTTGAACCGGGGCAGAGGGGTTTGGGATCCAAGACCCCAGGTTTGACTCCCGGCTGCCCCAGTGGGGGACTAGGGGACTAACCCAGTTTCCTCACCCACGGGACAGAAGGCCCCATGTGAGTCCTTGCAGGGTCCAGGGGTTAAGCAGTTCCCCTGGCCCTGTGCTGGCATCTCAGGCACCGCTCACAGTGCCCCAGGATCAGCCATGGCTTGCCCACTTTTAGCGCCCCCCCATTAACCAGTGGGCGGGACCTCGCAGAACTGCGGTGGTGTGGCCGTTCTGTAGGGCCCCCTCTAGACAGCAGGAGCAACCAGCATGCTTGTCTCTGAGACAGCGACATCACAGTCACACGCATGGGGCGCTTCTGGGCCACACGGAGTACAGTAGAGGAGCAAGCCTACCCCTGCCACCCCCAGCCCTTCGAGCTTGTGGAACTCGGTGAGTGACACCGGGGGAGTTTAAGACACTGCGTTCTCCTCTGGGGATGGGGAGGAGGTGACAGCAAAACCAGGGCCAGCCCAGGAGGGCAGCGGGGCTGGGGCCAGAGGCCCAGAGTAGGACATGGACTTGATCTGCACCCCCGGGCCCTGGGTCCCTGCCCCTGAGCACACTCCCGTGGGTTCCTGCCCTCCTCTCCTCCTGTCTCTCCCTTCTGTCTCTTTTGCCTTCATTTTTTAAATTAAGCGGTGATGGGAGATTCCTTTCTGGCGGTTTCGCAGGAGGTGAAATCACTTAGCAACCTGAATTATTTTCAATTCAGTAACTTCCCCCTGGGGTGGGAGGCCAAGCCCTAGCCGAGCCCGAGCTGGGGGCGTCGTGCTGGTTAAGCCACTCCGCGCAGGCTGGGAGCGAATGCTTCTCATATTTTTCCTGTCCCTGGTAAGGCCTTTTGTTTGGAGCCCGCCCTCTCTGCCCGATAAACATGAGTGACAGCAGTTCGAGGCTGTATTTTCAGCTGGCTGCAGCTTCAAAGGGTTGAAAAGTTTGAATTCCAGGCTTTAAGTTCCTTTTCTTCTTTCTTAAATTTTCCTTGCAGACACACCTATGGCAGATAGTAAAAATATGAATTTGATCTCCCAAGACAGAGAAGCAGGGCGGTGTGAGCTGAATCGTTATCTGCGGGGTCAGAGCGTTGTGGACAGTTTCCAGGCCGAAACCGCACGGCTCCTGGAGACCCCCTAGGCAATGCCGGGGAGCCACCGCTGCCAGCCAGCGATCCCAGCACACAGGACCCGGCCTTGACCACAGGCCCGCACTGAGCAGTGCCCTTCCCAGAGAGAGAGAAGCCCCAGGCCCCAGACCGCCCTAGACACAGACCAGCCATGGGAAAGCCGAGACCCAGAGAGGTTCAGCAGCTTCCCCCGGGTCACGCAGCTCCAAGCACAGCTCCCCTCCAAAGGCTGCCGCCTCCCCCACGTCCACCCTGGCACCCCCAGACTCACAGGCTGTGAGCGAGCATCGATAAATCAAGACGAGTGAAATACCTACTTTGAAGCGCTGCCGTGGTGATCCAGGGAGATAAAGGGCCTGAGAGGTTCAGTGTGTGATTCCGCAAGAAGGGTTCGCCCAGTTCCTGCCTCTCCCAGCTGGCAAGACACGTTTGTAAACACCGAGGGCAGAGATTCAGACAGATTGGGGCTCAGGTCGGACGCACACCGCTGGCTGTGTGACCTGGGTGACTCACTTGACCCTTCCTGCGCTCCTCCGGCAAACCAGGCTGCTGGCAGTGCAAATCCACCACGCTGCAGCGGGAATTCAAGGAGAAGGACCAGGGCACCCTTGATAAATGTCATCTGTATGCTTTGAAAAACAAGAACATAGTGACACCTAGGACGGCAGCACAGGCCTGTCTGTAGTCCCAGAAATCTGCAAGGCTGAGGCAGGAAAGTCACAAGTTTGAGTCCAACTCGGGTAACTCAGCAAGACTTTGTCTCATAATAAAATAAGAAAAAGACTGGGGATGTAGCTCAGTGCAAAGGCCTGGTCCAGCCCTCAGTACCACAAAAACCAGCGGTGAGCTGGTGGCACCTCAGAGCAGGGTGAGGCCGGGGAGTACTGGCCAGAGAGCCTTTGTGAAGACGGGGATTTTGTGACACCCCAAGGGGAGACCCCAGAACTACTTCACTTGGTGCTTGCTTTGTGCTGGGCGCTGGACTGGACACTGTCCATGAAGAGGCCAGAGAGCCCTGCTACCCTCCTCTCACTTAACCGTGGCAATAACTGAGGCTCAGAGAGGAGAGGTCACTTCCTCCAGCCACACAGCAAAGGCAAGACAGTGGAATTTCAACTGAGGCCAGTTCCAGGCCTGGACTCCACTTGCCGGTCTCCCTGCCACGCATGTTTAGTGAAACGCAATCCACCTGCCTCACATGCAGCCCTGAGCCCCAGCTCTGGCCTCAGGCAGCACCGCTGTGACGTGGAGGCGGACACCTCTGCCGCTTAGGAGGGACAGGAGAGCAGATGGCCTGGAAAGGCGCAGACGTGGGGGGTCTTTGGGACTCTCACAGCTTCTCCCTTAGCAATAAGGTAGGCGACACCACTGAGGAGGGGACACAGATCTGGGTTCTGCAACAACAAAAAAAGCCCAAATCCCACAAAGCAGCAGAACCACAACCAGTGCAGACTGCTGCTCCTGCCCCCCTCCAGAGGGAAGCACATCCCAAACTTGTGGGGCCCCAAGAGTACACTAGCCTGGCTCCAGCCCCCACCCCTCCTGTGCCGAGACCCCGCTCTTTGTCATGTGAATGAATCATTTTAATAGGGTCTTCTAGCAGAAGCATTCATCACCTCTGTGTAACAAGGATTTTCCTTTTTGTTCGACTTAAACGATTAAGTAGGTAATAAACCGCCTATCAGCTCCCCCTGGCAGCATGGTGATCCCTCCCAACAGTAAATCATAGGTGGATTATTACTATCCTGATAAATTAACACTTGGAGGACCTGGTGGCCAGGGTTGAGGCTGTCTGTCCCCTGGCCTGGGGGAAAGGCTGGCTTCCTCTGAGACCTGGTGTCCATCGCCAGCCAGTGCAGGTTGAAGGACATCAACTCCCACTCCGGTCCACATTCTGTCTGCCCAGGTGGCTGCCCCAGTTGGACGTGGGCATCTCTCTTCCTGCAAGCCCTCAGCTGTTTCCATCAGATCCGGGTGTCTGGGGCCACCGGAGAGGAGACAGTTGGTCTGCTTGTACCCAGAGAGCAGGTGGGGTCCTTGGGGAGCCACGCCAGAGTGGGCAGGGACCCACCATTCTGCTCAGTCCCATGGTGGTCGGCGCCCAGGAGGAGATGGGCAGTGACCTGGTCTGACTGGGTGCCCAGGGTTCCCAGGGGAACCATAAGGGGTGACACTCACTGAGGCGGTCAGGTGGCTCTGAGGCTGGTCGGAGCTTCACCACCCTCCCAGGACTCCTGTCTCTGGATGCGTCAGGTGAGGGATGTGCTTGAGTCGCTGTCCCGGAGTTCCAGAAACTAGGGGTCGCAGGTCACAGAAACGTACTCCAGAGGCCTGAACCCAAACTCCAGGTGTCGCATGTTACTTCCCGCTCCCTAGGGAAAGGTCCCCCAGCCTCCTCCAGGTGCAGGCCCAGGTGCGGCTGGCTTGTGGCTACCTCGCTGCCATCTGTGCCTTTGGCTGGCTCTGCCCTGCCTTGCCCAGCATCTTTCCTTGTGTGTACCCTGTCTTCCAAGGACTCTGCTCCCCAGAAATCCCCTACTCCCTGTCACCTCCTGACAGTGGCTAATCACAGCTGCACCCACCCTATTTGCAAGGAGGGTCGTTTTGGTGATACTAGGAAGACCTCAGCATGTTTTTTAAGGGTCACGATTTAATCCACAATGGGGAGGGGGCTGCAAGAGAGATTCTTTGGTGAAATCTGGAAGATAATATGAAATTGTGGCTCTTTCGTGGCTCACAGCCACACACACACACACACACACACACACACACACACACACACCCCACTTACCCTTGGCTTCACTTTCCAAAGTTTCAGCTACCCATGATCTGAAAATACGAGATGGAAAACTCCAGAAATAAGCAATTCTGGAGTTTTAAATAGTGTGTGCACTGTGCTCAGTACACAAGGAAATCTCTCACTGTCCTGCTCTGTCCTGCTCAAGATGTGGATCATACCTTCGTCCAACGCATCCATGTGGTATATGCTACCCACCCATTAATCATCAAAACTCTGTTATCAGAGGGACCATCCAAGCACCACAGTGCTTGTGTTCAAGTAGTTTGTGTTTTATTTAATAGTGGTTCAAAGTACAAGACTAGGGATATTGGCAATTCCAGAGAAGCTGTAAAGGGCTTCATTTAATTAAAAAGATTAAACTTCACTACGGGTGTAGTAGTCAGCTCTTCACTACTAGACAAAATACCCGACACCCACAATGCCAAGGAAGAGAGGTCTGTTTTGGCTCACAGTTCCAGAAATTTCAGTCTTGCAAAAATGTGGCAGAAACATATGGCAGAGAACAGCTGCTCACCTCATGGCGAATGGAGAGGGTGCCAGGGAGGAAAGGGCAAGGGACCAGGTACAGTCCTCAAGGTCACACCCCGAGACTCACCCAGGCACATCTGCGGTGCGGTTTTCTGATCTCCTAGCTGTCAGCTTGACAATCCCACTGGTAGTCAACATGGATCTGTGCATACTTGAAAACCAAAATATCCCGAGTTACTTTTCTTGTTGCTGAGACAAAATATCAGACACCAAGAGTTAAAGAAGAAAAGGCTCATCTTGGCTCACAAGTGTGGAAGTTTCAGTCCGGCTGACTCGGAGGCAGGGTGGCAGGACAGAAGGGCACCGCAGGGGTGAAGCAGTCCGTGGTGGAACAGACAGGGCAGCGCCGAGGATGGGCCTCCCTTTCCCTTTTATCCCGTCCAGGCCACAGACCCCACCCTCGGGGGGGCTTCCGTACCCACAGCTAGGGCGATGATAAACCGGTTAGTGGTGTGATCCAGTGCCACACACGCCTAATCCCAGCGTCACACCCTGGATCCAGCCCCCTCCACCTTTGTGCTCATGAGGCTGTTGGGGGGACACCTGGACACAGCCATGACAGCCTCTGGGTCACCTGTCGCTCTGCCCTCTCCAGGCCTGACCTCTGTCCCAGCCGGGTGTGTGATGCAGAGCTAGGGGCACCCTTGCCACTGGAGTCTAAAGCAGCAGAGGTGACAGGAGTTTCCCTCTGTCCTCATAGACCCCGGCCCCAGCTCCTCGTAGGTTCCAGCTTGTCGATGCCTCTGCCTTCCTTCCCAGAGACCTGTCATTCCCTGACCGGCTCCCCCATCTGCCCGGTGATCCCCAATCCCTTTTGACTCTGCTGTCTTCTGTGTCATGCACATGTGACCTGCATGTGTCACCTTCCCAGATGCTCTGCACCTGGCTGTTAGCCTGAGTCCCTGGCCAATGACTGCAGCCCAGGCCCAGCCCCTGCCTCTGTGATGCTCCCGGCCCAGAGATCGCTAAGCCAGGCTAAAAGATGATGCTGCAGCCTCCCTTCCCTGCCTGCCCCTGGGTTCAGCAGCATTTCTCGGGTGCAGGTCTTCAACAAATCTGCAACACACGAACCAGCAACTCAGTCTACCTCTGGTGCCCCAACTGACTCAGAGACGGGCAGCATGGGGCTTCCCAGCACCAGGTTAGGAGGCAAACGGGTGGAAGGATTTGCAGGGTGTGATGGCTCAAACCTCTGATCTCAACTTCTTGGGAGGCTGAGGCAGGAGGATCTTGAGTGTGAGCCCAGCTCAACAGTATATGGAGATCCTGTCTCAAAACATCTAATTAATTTTAAAAATTAAGCAAACAGGAATATAATAAAAACCTATTTGGAAGCTGAGTCCAGAGGCATGGATGGGTCAACGCGTGTCTCTCTAGTGGATACCGCACTGGGCCATGCCTTGAGTTAGCGAGGGCTACACTGGGGCTGAGGCAGGAAGGCTCACAAAGGAGACCTTGCACCACTGGATGGCACCCACGGGACAGGTGAGGGTGAAAGAAGCCCATGGACACTGCCAGGGGGGATGGGAGTCAGGCCTACAACAAAATTGCCAGAATAATCCAAGTTCCTCTATTCCCACAAGATGACTGTCTTGAACCTTCAGGTACAAGGGGATCTTTTTAAAATTCACCTGGAGGAGTCATGGCCAGCTCCACCACGGTGAGTGGGCCGGCCTGGGAAAATGTCACCTGAGCGCTGTGACATGTGTGGGTGGGGTTTCCCCTCCTAGCAGGAGGCGTGTGACCCTTGGGGTGCTCCTGGAGGGTGGGGTGAGGGGGCCACGGGGCCACAAGGCTCAAGGGCAGCTGGACCAGGTCACCTGTAGGAGCAGCTTGTGCCTGACAGGCAGGCAGGGCATCCTGGCGGGTTCCCAGAGCCCCCTTACACCCGGAGCCTCAGTGTGCACGCTAAGGGAATTCATGGAGACTGAGGCAGACTGTACAAAGATACACTCGGTCCCAAGCAGCCGGCCTCCCTGGACCACACTCAGGAGCTGGATGGCCTAGATTCCAGCCGGGGTAGACGGAGGCTTTCCTGCTGCAGTACAGCAGGGATCTCGGCTGTGTGGGGGCCTGGAGGACACTCAGGACCCCCCTACCTCTCCTGCAAGCCTCCCCAGACCTGGTGCTTTTCCTCCGGCCCAGCCCTCGTGGGCCGATGCCTCTCCAACCTCCTTCTCCGGTAGCAAACACCCTCACTGTCTTCAGAGGCCTCCCCTGGAGGCACTCAGTCTGCGGCCCGACCCCTGCACCATCGTCCCTCAGCAGTGAGTCTGTCTCCCTCCTGGCAAGTCCCTAGGGAGGGAGTGCCCACAGGTGGCACTTAGCCAGGGCAAGGTGCTGACCTCTTTGTCTGGTAAAGCCACTGGTACAGAGGGGCAAATCACCGGCCCACTACACCTGGAGATGAGTGCTGCCCTGCCACCAAGGAAGCCACGAGCAGGATCAGTGTGCAGGGAGGGGACGACACGGGGAGCGGGAGTCCCCCCATCTTCATCCGTTCTTCATCTCTGCAGCATTCTGGGCCCTGCTCCTTCTGCCAGGCGCATTGAAGCCGCAGCTGGGGAGACTCACATCTCTGTGGGGTCCCACCCAGCTCAGGTACCTGGGCGGAGATCACCCAGCCACTCCTGTAGGCTGCTGTGGCCATCATCCCTACTTTCCAGACAGGACACCACGTCCCCAGCGATGTGCAGGGAATGACGGGGAAAGGATCACGTAGTGTCCTGGTGTGTTGGAGTCGTCACAGGACAGACTGCCCTGGCTTCTGAAACCCACCGTGGTGTAAATTGTCTTTAATTTTGAGGTTAAACAGATGCCACATCCAAGTCCCCTTGGCTCAGGGTTGATCTCAAGCCCTCCGCCCCTGCACTGGGGTCTCCCTGGGGATGTGGAGGTCACGACAGCTCCTCCTTCACGCCCAAGCGGCCAGGTCCACATGCAGCGTCTCCAGGAGCTCAGCACCAGAGGGGAGGAATATGTTCGGAATCGACCTTTCCAGAAGCTAACATGAGAACATGAGCTAAAAGTGAAAACACATCTCTGACTGCTGTGCAATCTCAGTACGTCACCTCTCAGTGCCTCAGTTTCTACACCTGCAAATGGGCTAATAATGCCTGCTTCGTAGCTAGTTGCTAGGATGAAATTATTGGGTAACCAAAAAGCACTTTGAACAATGCCCAAGACAAAGAAGACACCTGATGATGGAACTGTTATTGCTACTTTTCCAGGTTCTACCTTTCCAGGTCTAACTTAGTTTTAATTTTGCTCCCTGCAGAGTCTTACGGTACATGTTTGTAGCAGCAGCGTTTGGCACACAAAGGCTCTTGGCTGTCACTAATACCCACCCGGACGGCGGGCATCATGTGC